CCTTGTCTCCTCCCCACTGCTCCAATGCATGACATCAGGATCACACTCCCTTGTCTCCTCCCCACTGCTCCAATGCATGACATCAGGATCACACTCCCTTGTCTCCTCCCCACTGCTCCAATGCATGACATCAGGACCAACTCCCTTGTCTCCTCCCCACTGCTCCAATGCATGACGTCAAGATCACACTCCCTTGTCTCCTCCCCACTGCTCCAAGGCTTGACTTCAGGAGCATGCTCCCTTTGGCTCTCACCGCTGCTCCAGGCCTCGGGCGCCTCCTGGTAGCCAACTAGCCTCTCTGCACCCTGCTCAGAGTCGGAACCCTGTCCAGGGTCCTCCACATCTTCCAGAGCCAACTCCTCGCTGTCGGAGTCTGGTGGCAGCTCCAACGGCTCCTCCTGGGCCACAACACTTTTACTACTACAATAAGCCACAGGTTACCAAGCATTCTTCTAGCGGTTTTTCTAACATTCTAGACAATTGTGTCCCATCATTTGTTACCCTCACTGCAGCTGCAACTTTCTGTGTCAGCAATTTGTTTAACAAACTTTCCAAATTCCAACCTTAGTCCTCCACAGTCCACCTCCCAGGCAGGATGTGCATGGAAGATCTACTGATCACAGCTCTGCAGAACCTGCCTTGAACTCATCACCCCGAGGCACAAAAGGAAGATGCCCCTTGTGCTTCAACATCTTTGGCAGAAGAGGAGAAGCCTGTGGGGATATCTCTGACTGCTCTGCAGGATGGAGCGGCAGAAACCGGGGCTGTGTACAGGGATACCTCTGCAGGGTCCTTGGTGCTCTCTGAGCCAAATTGTTTTCGTGCAGACATTTCATTACCCAAATTAGGTAACATCAAAATGAAATATCTGCAAGAAAACAATTAAGCTCAGAGCATCAAGAGCCCCTCATTTCAACCCTGAGCTACAAATAGTCTCCTTTATTGGGATGCAAGGGATGTATTCCACACAATCACAAGACCCCATTCTGACTGAGGACTTCAGACATTGGCGACTGCTGGAATCCCCCAGAGGGTGGTCTGCAGGGCCATTGTACCAAAGGACATCTTTGTGGCCCTCCAGGACCCAGTCCTACCTTCCTATTTACACTTTTTATATTAAAAATGGAATTAAAAGAATTGGGAACCTGGCATGCTGCAAAGCATCATATCAGTTCCTACATGCTGGTAGAGTAGTTTTGGTTTTGGTTTCTTCTGCTCCAAACAGCTGGGACTGGCAGGCCTCTGGGAGGCAGCCATCTCCAGGTTCCAGCCTCAAGAACACCCCAAGCTCCCCACCCTGTTTCTCCCCAGATCTTTAAGAGGTTCTTTGGAAATGCCCCTTTGGGGGTCCCCCTTTCCATCTTTAAATATTCCCCAGGCCCCAAAGAAAATTGTGGTTCTCTCCTGTGGGCAACGCCACGTCCCTTCCGGCACTTGGAACAACTCTTCCCAATATTTTGAGAAGCCTTTGTCTTCCTTGCCATGTAATGTGCACGGAAAGGCACCAGCAAAGGCTTTTTAGAGACCTTCTATAGCCAGATCACAGGAAGTCCTTGTCTTACATCGATTTGTTTAGTGACAGTTTGATGTTACAGCAGCACTAAAAAAACAACTTATGACCCGTTTTCACATTTATGATTGCTGCTGCATGCCTATGGTCACAGGATCAAAATTCATGCATTCACAGTAACTGGCAAGTATCTCTGACCACTGCACTGACACTGGGTCACAAGACCATCATTTGTAACCTTCCCAACTGGCTTCTGACAAGCAAAATCAATGGGGAAGCCAGATTTTCTTAATGACTACGTGATTCATTTAATTACTGCAGTGATACGCTTAACAACTGTGGCAAAAAAAAGTGATAAAATGGGCAAAACTTACTTAACTGCCTTGCTTAGCAACAGAAATTTTGAGATCAATTGTAGTTGTAAGTCGACGAGTACCTGCATCATCCTTCCATTGAAATTTTTCTGCTTCCAAAATCTGGTAGGCTCTCATTTACTGAGCCTGGTGGCCCAGCTGACTGATGGCCACCTTGGTATCATTACAGGCATCACCTGCCTGGCTGTGTTGCTATGTCTTCCTTAGGCATCTCCTACCTTTCCCTTCTTGTGAACTTGGTTTCTACCATCAGTGGTGAGAAAACTCTCTCTGCCTAACCACATCCCTCTTTTCCAGCACATCAAAGAATTCATCAATGAGACGTGGTTGGAGAGGTTTGGACATTCGGTCCATCCTTCAACGCTCACCTTATTGTGGTCTTCAGTGGTATCCATCTTTGGCTTGGGAGGTCTCCTGGGCTCCATGAGCAGTGGATGCCTGGCTGCCAAATATGGAAAGTAGGTCCCCATTGAATACTTGCTTTAATCAAGGCTGTCTTCAAAGCATTAAAGAACCATGTGCCATTAGTCCAGTCCTTGAGAGTCTTTTGGTAGCAGTTGGACTTTTTAACCAGGCCTTTTTGGCTGGCTAATAATTCTAATTGGTTGCTTGGTTGTTTAATTGTTATAGTTTATTGTAAGTCCCTTTGAATGAGGAGGAGGAGGAGGAGGATGAAGATGCATATAGAAAAAGAGGGGATATGCAGTTGAAAGTCCCATGGGAGCTCAATCCAAATCAGAGAGGGATCATAGGTTGGTGCCATAGGAGCAATAGGGATGAAAATCACTGAAAGTTTATCAGAGTTTTTGTATTAGCAAGAGCTTGATATATTTTGGAAATTGTGTAAGGCCATTTTTTAAAGCCAGTAATGTTAAATCAGGCAAGTTACCTACAGGTACCTTCCTGACAGTATTGTTTTCCTGTCTTCCTATGAAGACAGTTAAAAAAACTGGATGTATTTAGCTATGAAGAAACTGAGAAGATATGCTAGCCCTGTTCCCATATCTCAAAGCCAGAGACATAGAAGGTCAGGTCCTCTTCTTCTCAAATGTAGGACCTGAATTTCAATGATTGCCAAAGAATGGCAGGCCCTTCTTTTTCTGAAGGAAGAGATGGTTGCTTCTGGGCCTCCCATGAACAGGCCAGAAATCCCCATCCTCTTCCAAGTATTGGAGCATCTCCGCCTCTTTTTCATGAACAGGAAGAACTGCTTTTTGGGCAGCAACATGCTGATGGTGGCCAGTGCATTCCTCCTGGGCTTCAGCAAGATGGCCAGATCTGTCGAACTCATTCTGGTGGGACGTTTTCTGTGTGGCATCAGCACAGGTATGCACCTAGCTCTCCCAACTGCTGGCCAAGACCCAAGCATGTGCCAGGACATATTAGGACTGAGAGGGAGGATAGGATGTGAACATGCAATGGTTAAGTCATAAGGAATTTGGAAGGGCAGAGGAAGAGCTGCCAGTGAGAGCCCCAGAGGGCACCAAGGGCATTGCATTGTTGCACTGGATGTAGACTGCTGCCTTTTGTGCAAGGCACTCTTTTGCTTCCACTGCTCCCTGTTTTGTGCTTCTCCTTTTTGTTGCCAAACTGTTCTTGCTTCACTTTGATGGTGCAGCAGACTTTTGCTTCTTGTGGCCCCAATAACTTGTTTTCTGCCTTCAATTCAAGGTGTTTGTATCCTTCTTCATCCCCAGTACCTCGGAGAGGTTTCCCCCAAAAAACTCCGCGGATTTACCACTTCAACTGCTTCCATGTTTTGGTGTTTGGGAAAAGTCCTTGGTCAAGTTATGGGATTAAGGTACAGTCACACTTTCCACAATGCTCTGGTTTCATGTTACTTTTTCAACATTAATTATTGCGGTCATGAGAGTGCAAGATGACAATCAGAGATGCGTCTTATCCATAAGCCTTGGAAACAACCTAGGTTTTCTGTCTGCTTTCCCAGGGAGCTTTTGGGAAGTGGGGCCCTCTGGCCAATGCTGCTGGCCTTCAGTGGGGCTACGGCCGTGGTCCCCTTGCTCGTATTACCATTCTTCCCTGAGTCACCACCTCACTTGCTCTTGCACAGAGGAGACGAAGAAGGATGTGTGAAAGGTAACAGATGACAACACTTCCTCCTTTCCACGAGAAACGGTAACATTAAAAAGCCTCTGAAAAGGCAGCTAGAAAAGCAGTGAGAAATTGAGTCAAGTCAAAGATTTACCAAGATGGGGCTGAGTTTGGAACTGTCAGTCCCGATTACCATTGTTAAGTGAGGACACATATATGGTTTTTATATAGTTTTAGGTTTTATTGTTCTTAAATTGCTGTTTTGTTTGGATTCTTTCATGTTGCTTTTCATGGTTTGTGAACTGCCCTGAATCATATAGTTGCGATAGGCAGCAATATAAATTGGATAAATCACTAATAAATGCCAGGGGATTTTTCCTATGGAGCAGACTCTTCCCCCGTGCCACAGATGGGGAGGCCAGAACCAATTTAAACCACATGCAAGAAGATACAGAGCAGGTATCAGGTACAACTTCCTGACTTTGTGCTAACCAGTGGAACAGACTGCCACAGGAAGGGGATCCTCCCCTCTCTCAAGGCCTCAAACAAAGGCTTAGTAAGATGACTGTCCAAACTGCCTAAACAAGCCCTGCACCAAAGTGATTCTGAGATCCTTTCCAACTACGCATCTCTCTCTGAGATGGATTGCCTCCAGAAGTGATGGATGCTTCATTACTGGAGTTTTTAAGAGAGCCATTTGTCCAGATTGGTATGGGGTCTCCTGCTTGTGCATGTGGTTGGACTAGAAGAGCTCCAAGATCCCTTCCCACTGTTATTCTGTTAGAGACAGAGAGTCCTGCCCACTCTCCGTTTTCTACTTTTCCTTTAGTTCCTCTGTTAGCAGGATCCCCCTGCCAACTCCATGAGTTCCCCACCTTTTATATCCACAGAAGTAATAGCTGTGCCAATTCTGGTCTGCACAAAGTAGAGCTGGTGTCACCAAGAAATGGGCCAGCTGGTTCTGCTGCCAGGCAGGGAGCCAGAGGAGATGTATCTACTGGACCCGAAGTTGTGTCCTGTGGCAGGGATGCCTGTGTCCTGCCATGCACTCTTTCTCATTCCCAGCAATGAAGACCTTTTGGGGGGAAAAGCCTCATTGGGCAGAGCTGGATGACTTGCAGAAAGAGCAAGCAGCCCTGAACAGCACCCAGAGCAAGAGCCTCCTGGAACTGGTCAAGGAGCCTTCCCTGCGCTGGCAACTCTATATGCTGCTTGTCCTGGCAGTGACCACACAGCTGAGTGGCATCCAGGCAGTTGAGTGAGGCCTCTGGTCCATTGCTTCTGGGTGGGAGGAGGGGCTTTCCACTTGGAGATACGGAAACAGGAAAACCCTACAATTCCCTTTGACCTATTTTCCCCTTGAGAGTTGAAGTGCCTCCTTTACTGGAGGAGAGGGGTTTTACAAACCAGAACTGGCTCTTCTTTCTCTTCCTTCCTAGGCTTGGTTTGATGAATGCCCTGTTTTGAGCTCGCTCCCTTCCGTTGAAAGCCTCCCCTTCCAGGACTGCTCCTGTGCAGTCGTAGCATCTTTCTCCTGTACAGGAGTCCTCAGATGGCTTCCCTGGTTTCTCCTCCTCTTCCTCCTTCTCCTCAGATTTACTCCTACACCTTTGAAGTGATCCAGGCCACTGGGTTCCACCTTGAGCAGATCCCCTACTTGGCCCTGGGAGTGAGCCTCTGCGAATTTCTTTCCACCATCCTTTGTGTGAGTGAGAGGGGGTAAGATGCAGCAGGAAGCGGCTGGGACGGTTGTGGCCCCAAAGAAGGCAGCCCTTCCTCCAAAAGGGAGAGAAGCCAGGACAGGACCATGGCTAGAGGCTGCCTGAGTGGCTTTGTGGCCACAACCTGAACCCTCTGCAAGGACCAGGCATTGATAGCACAATCCTGCTGGTGGGTTTTGTGGTTAAGGGACTGCCCAGAAACCAGGAGACTGTGAGTTCCAGTCCAGTCTTAGGCAACAAAGCCAGCTGGATGACTTTGGGCCAGTCACTCTCAGCCCAACCTATCTCACAGTGGTGGGGAAAATAGAGGAATGAAAAAGCATTAGGTATGTTCGTCCGCTTGAGTTGTTTACAAAAATGATAAAAGTGGAATAAACATTTAATTATTAAATAAATAAGGTGTGTGATAACCTTACTTCCTGCTAGCCCTTGGAAGCCAGGTAAAATATGTCGTATGGTGGCTTGCAAGCCTCAGGGATTTCTCAACCAGCAGCACTGTCCTCCGTGCTGGCTATGGACAGACTTCCATAGTCTTGTTCCCAGAGCATCCTGTTGGGACATATCACTGAAATTAGGGCAGGGCAGGGCAGAGAATGGAATGGAATAGAATGGAACAGAACAGAACAAGTGGAACGGAACAAACAGAATAGAATTCTTTATTGGCTAAGTGTGATTGAATACACAAGCTCTCAGTATCTATGGAGATTCTCAGTCATCCAGATCATGGTTGTCTCAAAGGTGCTTTTTCAAGAGGCAACTGAACTCAGTGCCATGGGTGTTAGCAAGGTCATCTTCCAAGTGCTCATTCCTCTCCCCAAATCCCTCAGAGCTTCATCATCGAACGATTTGGAAGAAAGATGCTACTCTGGGCAGGCTACGCTTTGATGGGCACCATGCTGGCTGGTATCACCTTATCCCTCTCTCTGCAGGTGAGGAAATGCCTCATGAGCTGCTCATTAAAACAAGGGATGACAGCTGTTGAGTGATCTATTCAAGGAGGCCACTGCACTAGGTTACACTCCCCTGATCTAATAGGTCTCTCCCTCCCTCCCTCCCATACATCCCTTTATGGTTAGAAAAGAAGGAAGCAACACAGCTGATAATATGATTCCCAAGACAAAAACAGGGCTGAGGGCTGAGCAAAGTCAGAAGAGAATAGTTTATTCTGCTGACCAGACAAGGGCCCTGTAGATGGAGAAGCTAAGAATGGGGGCCAAGAACCAGGGTGTTTTTAGGTTTTTGATAAAAATTAAACCTCTGGCTCATGAATCATAGGGAGTTGGTTGATATCCATGTTTAATCATAATAAGTTAATGAACTAAAATGCAGTTTTGTTTATTTCAGCCCTGGTTCTCCTGGATGCCTTATTGTTGCCTTTCTTTGATCTTCTGTTTTGTATTTGTCTTTGGTTTGGGCCCAGGTAATTTCTTCAACACAGATTTATAGGGATATCGAAAGTAACTTTTGGTTTAAACCTTTCAAAGGAGAGGACAAAATAAAGTAAGATGGGATGGGTGAGTGCTGCAGCAATCAATCAGATGGGCAAATAACTGTGGGGATGGTGCAACTGCCACAACTTTGAAACCTGCTCATAAGTAGCTTTGGGAATATGTCATAGCTTCCAGTCGCAAGATGAAACTACCTGTACCTTGTCCAACTGCTGCTAAAGATGGGAACCTGAGAAATTATAGGATCTGCAAATACTTAAAAGAAGGTAGCATGTACTACTGAGCATTTGCCAAAAGGATTGTGGTGTACAAAAGAGTACCTCTGGCCACAGGTGACAATATATATATAGTCTGTTTCCAGTGTCATGATCTAGACCCTGGCTTTCAGGAGCTGAAGCGGTTGCTCTTTAGCCACCATTCCAAAATCCTTCCAACTTCTCGTTTCCCAAACTGTGGTTAATAAAGTGATTAGTTCCCCTTCCTAGCCACAGCTAAATTTTGGATACACTGTGTCTGGCTCAGGAAGTCCTCTAGATGAAAAATCTCTATGAGATTACTGGTAGAGTTGTGCTGATGGTAACAAACTTTCCTTTACTTTCTCCATAGCTGGTGCCACAGTCTCTCTCCGGATGGAAATGTTTGATCAGTCATCCAGAGCCCCTGCCTTTGCGATTAGTGGGACCCTGAGCTGGGCTGGAGTCTTTGTGATCGGAATGGTGTTTCCATTGATGTTGGTAAGTGATTCTGATACACATGGATTTATTCCTCCCTCCAATCTGCAGGAAAATTGGGACAATCAACTGCCCCAATTACATCTTGTAAGTTGGTTGAAGCTGACTTGCTGAATGATGCAAAGTTGGCAATACCAGCTGAATCCCAGGGCTTGATATTTGGAAACCAGACAGGAATATTTATTGGGAATTTGCACAAGAATCAGCCTCTGTTCCGCTGTTGTAATCCTAAAGCCATTTTTTCCCATCACCAGGAAAACGTCCGTCAGTTCTCCTTTCTCATCTTCATGGGCATCCTTTATACTTCAGGATTTATTGTTTACTTCTTCCTGCCTGAGACAAAGAAAAAATCTATCCTAGAAATCCAAGAAGAATTTGATAAACTTAATTTTAAGAAGAAACAAATTCCTGTCTTAGACGCCAAGCTGACCAAAGACCATGAATTGTGTACCAAACTATGACAAAGACTCTCAAATCTCAGAGAAGCCCTGCATGGTCCAACCTGCAGCTTTTTGGAGGTCTCTTTAGATGATCCTCCAGAATTGCTTCTCCATTCCTAAGATGTTAAAGCACTTCTAGTCCACAAATCCTAGTTGTTTTGTGATGTCATGATCCAGTAAGAAATAAAGATCGTTGTATTCTTGACAACATTGCACATTTTGATAGATCACACAAGGGCCTGGCTAGACTGTAGCATGTCTTTTAAAGAGGAGTAATGGAACACATTCAGAGTCCCTGGCACTGGATACCAAGTTGCTTTCACTTCTACACACATCATCTCAATCTGGGAACGTCCTGGGTACAGCACCAGAGAGGACCTTTAGTCCGACTTTTAAGGAAATTATAGAATTGGAACTGAATAGAGATGGATTTGTGTGGCGTGGCGTGGAATGTAGCAGAACAGAACAGCTTTATTTGGCCAAATGTACATGCAAAGCAACAAAGTAATAATAATCATAATAATGATACCAATAAGAGGAGTTTCATTTCATTTCCAATTCATTTCTTGAGGAAATGAATTCTGTGCTCTGTGGAAAAGTCCTTCTAACTTGCCTTCAGATTCACTTTTCCCTCTGCATTTTACCCACTTCCTCAAAATTGACCATTTGAATGTCTAACTACAGTTTACAGCTCTTTGTACTTCCTTTTTATTTTTACCCTGTATGGATTAGTTGATATTGTCAACAAATTTGATGACCTCACTCCATTGCAGAAACTGGTTCTCTATTTAATTTGTTAATGCTTCACAAGTCTGAGAATTCATATATGAAGCTGATTAGATCCATTCAATCTGGTTCCAATGTTCCATGTCTTACATTTGCAAGAAAGTGGATTGCTAAGTCTTGTCCTTTTTTAAAAAAGTTTTTTTTATTTTAATTAAACAAAAACAAAAAAAGAATCATCCTTCATTACATCTTGTAGAAAGCATGTCAATTGGTTACAGATAACCTTCGTGCATTTCTTCCACAGTCATTATAGTTCATATTAGATTATACACTTTAAATCAAAAATCTTTGTATATCTTACTATCAATGTAGCACAATTCTCATTTG